GGCTCAGTGGTAGAGCGTCGGTCTGCGGACTGAAGGGTCCCAGGTTCGATTCTGGTCAAGGGCATGTACATTGGTTGCGGGCATATCCCCAGTAGGGGGTGTGCAAGAGGCAGCTGGTCGATGTTTCTCCCTCATCGACATTTCTAGCTCTCTATCCCTCTCTCCTCCTCTCGGTAAAAAAAAAATCAATAAAATACATATATATATATATATATATATATATATATATATACACACACACACACACACACACACACACACACACACACATATATATATGTAAATAAAAGAATTGACCAGCCCTGGACGGTTTGGCTCAGCAGACCACAGGGTCCTGGGTTCAATTCCAGTCAAGGGCACATAATGTGGTTGCAGGCTCCTCCCCAGCCCCAGCCCTGGTCAAGGCTCATGCAGGAGGCAACTAATCAATGTTTCTCTCACATCAATGTTTCTCTCTATTTTTCCCTCTCTCTTCTACTCTCCCTAAAAATCAATGGAAAAATATCCTCGGATGAAGATTAACAAAAACAACAAAAAACTGACCAAATTGAAAGGCACATCCTATTATTAGCCAGGAAGGTTCAATACTCCCTAAATTAAGATATAAATTTAATGTAGGAGAACTAGATAAGCTACTGTTAAAATTGGTCTGTTAAATAAATAAGCCAAGAAAAATCTGACTGAGGGCGACTAATGCTGTGATATTAAAATGCATGAAAAGCTACAGTAATTAAAATCGTTTGGTACAGACATACAAGACACATCTTAACCCACAGAACCAAACGCACAGGACTTCAGTCAATGATAAAGGTGGCATTTCAAAGCATTGTTGAAAAGATGATGACTCAATCAATGGTGTCAGGGTCAAGGGCTAGCAGTTCCACACCTGGAACAAATCCTACACAACTTTAACCCTGACTTTCTTCTGGTCTTTGTCACCCCCTCAGGGAGGCCCCTCCCTCGTCACCCTCTTCAAGATCACAGCACCTAACCACAACCCCCAATTTCTGAATCCCCCTTCCTGCTTTTTGTTTATTTCCCCCATAATACTTATTTCCAACCATGTACTATTATGACTGTCTGTCTTTCTGACTAGAGTGTAAGCCCTGTGAGGGCAAGGATATTCCTATGATTTTTGCTCATGCATCCCCAGCATGTAAGGCACTCAGCATGTACTTCTTAAATGCAGGAAGCTATTCTGTGGCACAGAGCATTTGGCAGCCAGCTCCCATCCACCTTCGCTGTGAGCACATGTTTGCATCTGGACCCAGATCCAGACCGAGACCTCTTGCCAGTTTCTGGTTGGACTGGGGCATGTGTCTCCATCTTTGTCAATGGAACCAGAGTGCTGGGGAGATTTATGGGTGAAGAAGTTTCCCTCACTGCTAAAAAACAAACAAACAAACAAAAACAAACAAACAAAAACATATGGGGGGAGAGCACCCCTTTCCTTTTCAAGGTGTTGTCATGCCCACACGATGCTTGGCACCACAGCAGCCATCTGTGACTATGAGGGGAATGTCAACATGGAAGATAAAGCAAGCAAGCTCTGTGCTTTACCAGAGCGGGTGTATCACTGAGTTAACCAGCTCTGGGCTCACATTTCTAAAATAAACAGAATTTTTTAAAACCTCTTGTGCCTGGCTTGTATGGCTCGGTGACTGAGTGTCAACCTATGAACCAGGAGTCATGGTTCAATTCCTGGTCAGGGTACATGCCCAGGTTTCAGGCTCGATCCCCCATGACAGCTGATCAATGATTCTCTTTCATCATTGATGTTTCTGTGTCTCTCTCTCCCTCTCCCTTTCTCTCTGAAATGAATAAAGATATAGATTTGTAAAAGCTATTTGCAGTGGCTCCTCCTGCTTCTGGAAGCAGAAAGCAGACTGGGGTCACTACCATTCACAGCCCCTGGGGTCTGCAGGGGCTTCCCGATGCTATCAACCCCCAGAAGGTGCGGGGAAACGTTTAGCAGCCTGCTCTGAGGGGAGGGACCTGCAATAATGGCCATGAACCAGGCACCAAGTTCCTGCCAATACAATCCGCTCCCATGAGTCAGTGAAACCAGCTCCAGCACCCACTGCTTGCATCCTCACATGATGCAAACACACATATGCTGGTAAGGAGTAAATTCCTAGATATATTTAAATGGCAACAAAAGCATTTATGATGAGCTTTACTTATGTAATTCACGTTTTCATGTACACACATATATATATATATGCATAGACTATCTTTGGGAAAATATTCAAGAAACTTGAACAAGATTGTGGAACTGGAAGAAATGAGAAACTATTTATTATATAGTTTTGGTAAGTGACTTGAAATCTTTATTATGAATCATTTTTATGGAAATTACAACTTTTTTAATCCTCTTCTGAGGATATATTTCTATTGATTTTAGACAGAGGCAGGAGGAGAGAGAAGACACACTGATGTAAGAGAGAAACATTGATTGGTTGTCTCCCATCTGAATGCTGAACGCGGGATTGAACCCAAAACCTAGGCATGTGCTCTGATGAGGAATTAAACCCACAACCCTTTAGTGCACAGGACAATGCTCCAAACGAGCCAGGCAGCCAGGGCTGAAAATTACAATTTTAAAAAAATTATACATGTCACTAAATTTTCATTTTTGCAATATTCTCCTTTCCTTGATTACATACTTTACTTTTTTATGCTTAAAACAAGTTTCAGTAGATTTAATAGCCCCTATCCAAAAACTGTATCACTAAACCAAATAAACTAAAATTAGAAAGACACAATTTTCCATTTCCCCCCCAATTAAGCTAAATAACAAAATCACTGTGGTTCAATTTCAAGTCAAATAAAAATTACACACAAGGAATAATTTAATATTCAATGGCTTTTTGCTAAAAGATAAATTGAGCCCGGTATGCAAAGCAGCCCAGTATCCATGACCTCACAGAGCAAGGTCATGTTGCACCTCCCAGTCCTCAGTGCCACTTGGAGGGCATCAGGATCTAGTACTCAGTGGCCCAGAGAAAGGAAGCCATGACAGAGTGCGAGGAGGGGTCTGCAAACTGACAGCGCCTCCAGCACCCACAGCACCCACAGCACCCACGCTTCTCACAGCAGGTGCTGTGTGTCACGCAGAAGCCTGGCATTCAACAACATCCCTTGTAACCACCATCAAGGAACCTGTGTTACTCCTAACTGGAAACCGCCCTCTTGTCCAATGTGACTTCCTCTCAATATTTGGTGTAGGAAGCACAAGGAAATAAAAGTCATGGTCAAACTGGTATTTCTCCCCGTGTGCTTCCGCCTCCCCTATGCCAGGAAGTTGCACTCAAGTTTCTGTCGAGTGGTTGCCCAACAGGACCCAGCAAGCCAGGCTTACGCCTGATGAGCGTGACTGCCGCAGAGGCGGGCCGAGGCTCGGTCACAGGTGTGGCAGTCACCCCGAGGACGCTCACTGTACTGCACACGTGTATGATACAGGGGCACTAACGCCTAAAGCAGCTTTTTCTTTACCATGACAGACGGTTCAACAACAGGGATGTAAAAATAGACATGGGGGAGGAAACATATGTCTATTTTTCTTTCCCACCCTCCATTTTTCTATCATCAACACAAATCTAAAACCATTTGGTAAATGTTAAGACACGTATTAAATATAAAGAGTCAAACCTGAGGCGGGAAATAAAAACAAGAAGAAATGAAGGAGCTAGTGAGCGGCAAAAAAGACCCACAGATCTTCACAGACATCCACTCATCACAATGCTTACAAAACAATGGGTTTCTTTAAAATGTCTGCAAGCTCTTAAAAGTTTTGAATCCAGGCTGAGCTAGGCAGTAAAAAAATAAATAAATACCTAAAGATTTAAAAATATTAACATGTATTACTTATACAATAAACTAGAGGCCCAGTGCACAAATTCATGCACAGGTGGGGTCACTCAGCCTGGCCAGAGATCAGAGTCGGACAGCCAAGGGGAGGGACCATGGGAAGTTGGTCAGCCACAAGAGGTTGGCTGTGGGAGCGCACTGATCACCAGGGGGCAGCTCCTGCTTAAGCATCTTCCCCCTTGTGGTCAGTGTGTGTCATAGCGACCTGTCAACCAGTCGTTTGGTCAACCAATCATTTGGTCAACTAGTCATAATGGTTGTTTAGGCTTTTATATAGAGAGATAATTTTATATTGCTGTACATTAACTTACAAAAATGCAAGAGAGTCTTAAAGTCATATAACTTTCAACATGACCTGAAACACAAACCACACTAGCTGAAACTGAGTCAGTGTGAACTGCTGCCACTAGCCATGGTGCATCTGAACGAACAGAACCAAACCATTTCTTCTCATCTACTCTCCCTTCAGTAGTGCTGAAGACTAGACCAACAATGGAAAAACCAAACGTTACACAAAGAAATGATACAAGCTGGAACACAAAAGGAAAAAAGAGGTGACAGCAATTATCATTTTTAGAGTCTGGGACAAGAAATTTAATACAAAACAGCTGCAACATTCTGCAAGTGTATATGGGAAGATTTAAAGGCATCGTTTATAGCTTGGCTCAGCTTGTAAGCTAACATATGGTGCAAGCTCCATTTAACAGCAGAAAATGTGGGCCCACAGTAGGCTTCCCATCTGGAGTGGGCAGACCTGACTGAGCACAAATTATTACCACTGCAAAGGGACTAGAGTTCTATGACAGCCACATCAATCCCTGGCTGTTCAATTCCCAGTCAAGGGCATGTACTTGGGTTTCAGGTTTGACCCTTGGCCCCAACTGGGCCACATATAGGAGGCAACAGATCAATGTATCTCTCTCCCATAGATATTTCTCTCCTTGCCTTCCACTCTCTCTAAAAATCAATAGAAAAATATTCTCGGATGAGGATTCACAACAAAACAAAACAAAACAATCCATGCCGAGATGAACATTCATCAAGGAAGTATTTTTCAGGCCATTCCAAGAAACAGAATCACAAACACCAATAAGCACCTATGCTGGGGAGAACGGCCTGACCACACTCACCGTTTTCCACATAGGGATGGAAGGGCAAGACCAGGGCAAGGATGACCCTGCCTCTAGTTGGCTCCAAGACACTTCTGATATCTTTTAACAAAGTCAGGGGCTGATCACAGCGGTCCAGCAAATTCAAGCAGCTGATGACATCATACTGGAACCCTGTATTCTGCCATTCATTTATACCGAGCACTCTGGAAAAATCAGAAAGAACTGGATTGATACAAAACTCCCTTAAAGACACCTTTAAAAATAACTGAGATGCCAGTAAAGGCTCTAACTTTGTCTTCTAATTCAAAGTGAATTCAAAATCTTCAGTTATAAGCTATATTTGTAGAAATAAGAGAGTCAGGGCAAGAGAAAAATAGCTACCATATTTTCTTAAATTTAGCATTTCACCTATTTCCAAATCTCAAAACATATAAAATTTTCTTTTCAAGAGCTAATCATTACTTAATAATTATGACAATATGATAAAAATGATTATAAAACTAAAGCATCAAATCCTTGAACATCAGTTAATAAAGAGTCCTACTTTCTACATAAACTGGAATTTAATCATAAAATACATATTTATGGTTTCTATTCCTAGTGTCCCTATTTAAACAAATGTTTTTTATTGTTGACAGTATTACAGATGTCTCCCATTCCCCTCTTTATCCCTTCGTCCCAGTTACTACCCCCACCCAGGTCTTCACCCTCTCCTAATTTTAAGAAAAGCTGGGGGTGGTACAGATAATTCCCATTTTCAACCTATGACCTGTTGAGCATATCTGTTTCCAGAAGAGAGATACTACTTCACACTTTAAGATTCTCACGTCTAAATACCTTTATGGGAGAGAAAGCACAGGACACCCCATTAACGCCGTGAGCTCATGCAGAGCACAGTCTACACACCACCACAGCCCTCAATCTCTCCCTCTCTCCCGCCCTCTTTTTCTCAAAGAACACTCCGAGTGCTTTACAAAATTTTACCCATAGAAAGGGGGAGATTTAATATCAGGTCTTTTTCAGCCACACATCACGGCATTTTATATCTTCTTTACTCCTCCTGCTTGGTTACAGCAATCAGAATGTGGTAGGCGATACCTGTTACAATGGACAGGAAAAGGATCCCCAGCCCTGGCCAGGTGGCTCAAAAGCTGCAGGTTCAACTCCCGGTCAGAACACATACATAGGTCCAATCCCCTGTTGGAGCATGTGTGGGAGGCAACCAATGTTTTTCTCTCAATCTTTCTCTAAAGATCAATGAACATGGCTACAGGGAGGATTTTAAAAAAAAGGAATCTGATAAAAAGTCTTTCATGATATAGCAGAGATAACCTAGAAAATTCTAAACATATCTTGAGGGCTGCTTGGGGAAAACTCACTTTGCTTCCCACACTTACTTTCAAAACACAGATTTTTTAAAAGTGGGCGGAGAGTCAGATTAGGAATTTCAGCATGACTTAAGCTACTGTTACAACAAAGGTCAGACATTTGAAATGTTAATTTCTAAATGAAGGAATATGGTTTCATTATCACCACACAGACCTAGGAGGATTTATCAATGACAGATAGCTGGAGCTAAGGGAGGTCTTATGAATCAGTCCTATGACACCCCTAACAGCTTTTTAAACTCAGAGGATGACAAGGACTTAGATGCTGGAGCTGGGAGGAAGGTCAATCTCCTTGACCTCTAACTCAACTTCTAAGGCCCAGTTGTGCCGGATCGGATCGTATACACACGTGCTCCCTTCTTCCATGAAAAATCCCATTGGATATCCGTTTGCAGTAACGTTCCCTTCCACCCCTTTCTTACAGGGCCTCCTCCTCCCTAGGCTGAACATCTCTGTGTTTGCCAATACTCTCAGAGCTGCTTTGTCCTGCTCCGGGAGCTCCGCGGACACACTGTATAAGCAGAAACTTAGGTGGGTAGGAAAGAGAGTATATAATTCTTTCTCCTTTCTCAGGCGAAGCCCAGCTTCCTTTAGGTCTTCCCCACTTCCCACCTCCTCATTCTATACTCAGCCCCCTTTGCTCCCATTCAACGGAAGCCATACTGAGCAAAGAGCCTTCTTCCAAAGTCTCCCAAGCCAACGGATGGTCTTAAAACCAAGATTTGACACTTCATGTTCATTAGGATGGCTATTATAAGAAAAGAAGGGAGGGAAGGAGGGAAGAGAGAGAGGGGGAAGAGAAAAGAAGGTAGGGAAGAGAAAGGGAGGGAGGGAAAGGGAAAAAATAAGTATTGGCGAAGATGTAGAGAAACTGAAACTCTTGTACACTGCTGCAAATTGGTGTAGCAGCTATGGGAAAAAATTCCTTAGAAAGTTAAACAGCGATCAGTGTGGCTCAGGAGCTCACGGTTCGATTCCAGTCTGGGCACATGCCAGGGTGGCAGGCTCCATCCCAGGTTGGCTGGAGCGCATGCAGGAGGCAACCAATCAATGTTTCTCTCTTACATGGATGTTTCTCTCTCTCCCTCTTCCTCTCCCTTCCTCTCTATAAGAATCAGTACAAACATGTCTTTCTCAAAAAAGTTAAACATAGAACTACCACATGACCCAACAATTCCACTGGGTATATACTCAAAAGAAGTGAAAGCAGGGACTCTAACAGGTATGGGTACACCCAGGTTCACAGCAGCACTATCACAACAGCCGAAAGGTGGGGACAGCCCAAGTGTCCACTGACAGATGAAGGGGTGCAAAAGGAGAGGTTTCTGACACCTGCTACACATGGATGAACTCTGAAGGTACTATTGTAAGTGAAATAAGCCAGTCACAAAGAACAAATACGGTAAGATTCCTTTTATTTGAGGTACCTAGAGTAGTCAAATTTGTAGAGACAGAAAGTAGAATAGTGGCTGCCAAGAGCTGGGGAGAAGGAGTGGGAGTTAAGTGTTTAATGGGTACGAAGCCGCTTGGGAAAATGAAGAAGTTCTGGATGGTTACACAACAACGTGAATGTGAATGTGCTTAACCCCACCGAACCACACACTCAGGAATGAATAGGACAGTAAATTCTATATTATAGATTATTACAATGGATTTTTTTTTTCATTAAACTATTTCAGAATGCCAGATTCTAACCAGGCAACGAGCCCCTACATCTGATCTCTTTCCAAGCTGGCTCCCACCTGCTCTCTTCCTCCCAATAGTCCCAACTCTGCCAAGGAAAGCGGACTTCTCTCTCAAGTCCACTTCACTGTAATGTGGAAAGTTGTTCTTTTTAGTTCCTAATCATGGAAAATTGTTTCTGATGCATATCATTAAATAATATGCTCTCAAGAAGCAAGACACCTACAATCAAGAAAAACAGCCCAAATCATGACTAACAGTTATACCTGTATTTCTTCTTCTGAAGCTGCCATATCATCGTTTCAGACAGCTCAGTGGCATAAATTTCTTCAAAATGCGGGCTCATGATTTTTGTGACTTCTCCATCTCCAGCACCTAAGTCGAGAAGTCTATGGGTTTTCCAGTCTGGGTTAATTCTAAGCAGTCTCTGAAACTGATCTGGGGAAAACACAAACATTGAACCTCTTCCGAGCAACCTGGAAAAAAAGGACAACATGGAAGAGTCAGCACAAGGGAAGCACAGCCCATACACACACACACACACACAGAGTGGCATGGGACTCAGCACCAACAGTTCTTTGAACTTACAAAATGTTTAGTTTGTATGATTATATGATTAAAATATATATGATATTTTATATGATTTATATCATGGTTAAAAAGCAATGTTTGTAAAATAAGGAAATAACTCCAGGTAGCATCATTTGTCTTTGAGGTGAGGAATAAAAGATGAAAGGGAGGCCCTGGCTGGTGTTGCTCAGTAGATAGAGCATCGGCCTGCAGACTGAAAGATCCTGTGTTCGATTCTGATCAAGGGCACATGCCTGGGTTGCAGGCTCAATCCCCAGTAGGGGGCATGCAGGAGGCAGCTAATCAATGATTCTCTCTCATTATTGATGTTTCTATCTCTTTCCTCGCTTCCTCTCCAAAATCAATAAAATATCTTTTTTTTTTTTAAAGATGGAAAGGGAAAAGTATGAGAAGGGAAGAGAAAAATGACCAAGAAAAGATGAATGTGAAAAATTTATTTCAAAATAGGAAGGAGTAACAGAAAACATGTTTATTAGGTTAAAAAGATGGCAGGCCAACAGAAACAGGCCACAGCACTAGCCAACAATACAAAGCAGAAACACCAAATATGAAAAAGAAGCCTTTATGAAACTATACAAATAGTAAGAAAAAATAGTTGTAGTATGATTTATTTTTAAGACAAAAGAAAAAAATAGTGGTCCTTGTAATATCAATTAATTTGCATCTAAAAAGTAGGTTCATACTTGTGTCAATTTATATACAATTGATGGGACCTATTATTTCTAAGGATACTAAAAAAAACTTTCAAAATCATAGCAATGCCTTTGGAAAACAGACTGGGGCGCTAAGGGGCAACAGAGCCCTGGAAAGAAGGCACAGCTTACGCCAAGCCTCCTGGAAGCCTCGTGGAAATCACACACTCCAATCAGAACTGGTTTTCTGGCTCTCAAATCATGGCTGGTCTAGACCAGGGACCTCACACTTTTCTACATGAAGTGGAACCCACAGAATGTGTACAGTGATCCGGGTGCCCCCAGGGCCTTTCTGTCCGCTCAGCAGCTCGGGAGCCATCTGCCCTTGGCCCGGCTTTTGCTCACATAGCTTCAGTCCAGTCTGCCCTCCCTCTGCCAGAACACAAAGTGAGTGTTTGCACACAGAATTTTGTGTGTACTAGGTCCTTTAAGAGGGTGCCTGCATTTCTAACCACCTTTCCCTGGCAATAGCAACCCTGTTACTTTTCACAGCCAGATGTTATGTGGGCAACTTTCTCAGTTCTGGAGCTCTCTGCTGGGGATCCCAGCTTGGGGATCAGATCCCAAAGCTCTCAGTGGCAAACCCCCACCGCTGAGGCACCTTTCCAAACTTCAGTGCTGTCTGTGGCAGCCTGTCCAGCCCTTTGTGCCTCCGCCCTTCCTACTAGTCTCTATGTGGTCTCCACATGCCTGCCTTGGTTATCAGGGTTACCAGCTAGTCTTAAGTTGATTATTCAGGATGTTTTCTTTCTTATTTCAGTTGTAATTCCAGTTTGGACCTGGGAACATCCACTTACTCTACCGCCATTTTTCTACACTTAATTTTATCTAAGACAAGTTGTTTTTAATTGTCAATTGTTCATATGTTCTAGTGGGAAAACAGGCTGCAGAGAGCAAGCCTGAGAAAAAGAACTGGACTTACGGAAATAGCTACACAGAGTCTCACTCGGGAACCTGTCAGAGCAAGGAGGGTGCTGAGGTAGCGGCAGCAGGACTGGGGCTGCATGTGGCCAGTGTTAGTGCTGGCTAGCAAAGGACCAACAGTCAAGTGCATAATAGTTCTTTGGCTTAAATGTTTCCAGTTATAAAACAACACACTTCCTTGGCCAGGGATGCAGCAAATCTTAACAAATAATCATAAAATTCTAGAGCTAGAGGTCATCTGAGGTCAGAGCTCAGGAGGTCATCTCACTGCTCTTCATCTAAAAAAAGGCACCAGAGAGAGAGGCATGGCCCTACTTCCAAAGATCATCACCAACTGAGGCTCCACAAAAAAAGTTAAAACTGCCCTGACAGGTTTGGCTCAGTGGATAGAACGTCAGCCTGTGGACTGAAGGGTCCCAGGTTCGATTCTGGTAAAGGACATGTACCTTGGTTGCAGGCACATTCCCAGTAGGGGGTGTGCAAGAGGCAGCTGATCGATGTTTCTCTCTCATCAATGTTTCTAACTCTATAGCCCTCTCCCTTCCTCTCTGTAAAAAATCAATAAGATATATATATATTTAAAATTAAAACTGTGGCCAAAAACAAGGGCATGTACCTTGCTTGCGGGCACATCCCAATAGGTGTTGTGCAAGAGGCAGCTGATCGATGATTCTCTCTCATCGATGTTTCTAACTTTCTATCCCTCTCTCTTCCTTTCTGTAAAAAAAAAATCATTAAAATATATATTTAAAAAAATTAAAACTGTGAAAAAGAAATCAAAATTCATTGAGCCCAGACAAACTTTGCCATCCAAGGGTCATTGGGAGAAGGGGGTAGACAAGACCAGAAAAGTCATACTTCCTGCAATGTGTGGGACAGTCTACACAGTGAAGAATTATCCCCCTTAAAATGTCGACACACTGACCTAGCTCAACCCAGGTTCCAGCAAATACTAGTACATGTCATGGAGAGGTCTGGCTCTCTATTTTGCCTTTAATCCCCAAAGTTAATGATGTCCATAAAAATGTTTTTAAGTGTTGAATAAGCATCCTATGTTCTCTGGTCACAATCTAAGTCCCTTCCAGACTCCAGAATCTGCAGAGGAGGTGGGCCTCCTTATAAACATCTTCCTTATAAAATCAACGCCAATACATCCACCAAGTCTCTCCTTACCTGGCCTTCCCCTTCCATCACAAAGGAAGGTTGATAAGCATCTCATCTTCTTATTCAAGAAGGTGCCCTAGTAATTGCTTCTGAGAGAGATATCCACTCATGGTAACAATCTAACACTACAATGGATGGAAGTAACAGGGACTAAAAGTAAGCTTTCAGCTGAGAATAAGGACACAGGGCAAGAGTGGTTTTGTTTTGAGTAGGGAGGGGGTGAGGGTTAAAAAGAAGGCTAAGAGCTGTAAATAAGGGAAGCCCAAAAAGGATTTATTAACTGCACTCTCTCACTTTAACCAAACCGTGAAGTTCCATACACAGGGAATTTTAAGCAGAATCCAATGGGGTAGAGGGAGGGGGAAGCAACTCAGAATTTGAACTTACCCCAAATTACATGCAAAATGTTGAATGTAAGGTCTATGAAAAGAGGATTCCTACCTTTTATAGCTTTCAAAGAAGTACAGGACCTCGAAAAGTTTAAAAATCACTGCTTAAGTGACTTGTCTGCTTTTCAATGAAAAGATAAATGGAATAGAACAGAAATTCAATGTAGCCAATCTTGAAACAAAATGTCAGACCACATTGTAGAAATTCAACTACCAATACAAAAATAATAACTGTTTGCCGAAGCAGACTTCAGCCAATTTCACACAAGCGATGAAGAAAACTAAGTAAGAAATCTTGAGAAATGACTCAAGGAACCTAAAAACATATTAGGTCTAGTAATAATTAATGTCGTTTTATAATACTTTTTTAAAATCAAATTTATTTAAACAATACAACAAAATTTAATCAACAATATAGTTGCCCTTGTTTTCTACTACTTGTGCCCAATGCTCAGGAAGCATTTTAATCCCTCTGTTGTAAAATTCTTGTGATTTTGATGCAAAAAATTCGGTCAATGCATTTTTGAGGCATTCTTCATTATTAAATTTTTTTCCAAGAAGAAAGTTTTGCAAAGAACGAAACAAATGGTAATCGGAAGGGGCAATATCAGCAGAATATGCAGGTTGAGGGAGAACTTCCCATTCCAACTGGCGCAGTTTTTCAGCAGTGATTCTTGCAGTATGCGGTCATGCGTGATCGTGGTGAAGAATTACGCCCTTCTGATTAATCAGCGCGGGTTCTTTTTCTATTAAAGCTTGGGCTAACCTTTCCAATTGGGCACTATACACTGCACTTGTAATGGTTTGGTTAGATGGTAAAAGTTCATAATGAAGAATTCCTTTAAAATTCCACCAAACACACATCATTATTTTTTTCACATGCAAGTCAGGTTTTGGCGTGGGCTGCGGAGCCTCATTTTTGTCCAACCATTGAGGCCGCCTTTTCAAATTAACATACAGCACCCATTGTTCATCTCCGGTAACAATTTGCTCTAAAAATGGCAAACGGTTTTGACGAGAGAGGAGTGAACTGCAAATTGTGACTCTTTGATTACGGTTGTTGTTGGTCAACTCATGAGGAACCCATTTTCCAAACTTTTGGACTTTGCCAAGTGCACGCAATTGATTGGAAATTGTTTTTTGTGAACAATTTAAAGTTGTCGCAAGCTCTTGTTGGGTAATTTGAGGATTTTGCACCAAAAGAGCTTGAAGAGCTTCTTGATCAAAATTGGACACATGGCCTCGACCACTCTTGTCATCTAACGAAAAATTTCCCTCGCGAAATTTCTCAAACCAACGCTGGCATTTTCTGGCACTAACTGCATCTTGACCAAGAGCACTACAGATGTTTTTTGCAGCCTCACTTGCTTTTCTTCCTAATTGGAACTCGTAAAGCATGCAGTGCCGAATATGCTCTTCATCCGCCATCTTCTTAGCCCTAGTTTTGCAACAAAAGCCAAACCAAACACAAACTTTTTCAAGCAAAACTTGTTAATTGCACTTCACACGTTCTGTAGATACCACGTGTTTAAAGGTTATGTCAATACAAGTCAATGCCAAGCAAGATTTTAAACGAATGTTTAAAAACGACATTAATTATTACTAGACCCGATACTTAAGGACCAGATGATAGACTGGGGACGCAGACATTCAGTAGAAGCTGGCTTCAAACCTCAGTGGGGAAGAACAACCATAAAGAACCAGTAGCTTTAAATGGTCCCACTGGCTTTTCTCCTTGGCATTCTGGGTTCTTGGGCGTTGGGCTGTTTAAAAATGTGGCCAAAGGAGGATAAAAAACATTCCTAAGCCTTTTCTAGAAGTTTAAGTGAGAGAGCCACTCTAGGAATAGAGACTTCCATTTTAAGTTTAGAGAAGTCTGCTGAGCCTAGACATCACATAAGAACAGATACAGGACCTTCATTTGCAAGAAGCCAACTCCCATGGCTTGGGGCAGATCAGATGCCCCCAGAAACTAACTCCTGGGACAGGTGCTTAAGGCCAAGATCTGACTCCTCAGCCCATCTATGACAAGGGCTTGGGGTCAAGTATGGTGCTACACCCCCTTCATCAGCAGCAGCAACATCACCCACTAGACATGCAGACTCCCAGGCCCCACCTATGACCTACTGGCTCAGTTTAGCATTTGAACCAGGTGAGTCCTGCGCACATCAGAGTTGGGAAGCACTGCTCTCAGTACTTCCCAGAGGAGAAACGCAGACTAAGACGAATGGGGTTGTCGAATGAGGCTGTCGTTGTGGTGAACTTGAAAAACAAGGCTGAGACACTAGACCTAGTGCCAAGAATTTTGACTCACTGCCGAGGTGGTCAACGTCCTGAATGAGACCTCCTTTCCTTTCTCTTTCTTCTTTTCCACAAGGGCGAAGAAAAGGCGCCCAGAAGCCACTCACCCATTGATAGATGTTCTGGACATGAACAGGCTGAAGACCGATGACACAAAGGAGTGATACAGCTGGATGAACAGCCAGCCCGATTTCTCAATGCTGTTGTTTAAGAAGATCTGTGTTCCTTGGTCGAGGTAACTCTGAACAAACACATCCTGGAGTGATTCACATAATTTCTCTCTGTTGCACACGTACCACTGGAAAAAAAGGAAGAAAATGAAAACACACAACTGTAGCCTCTGGACTCTGAGGTTAGGGAACCTCTGCTGGCCTCTCCTGCACTGGGATGAGCACAGAAGCCATACCCAGCACTGTGAACCCTGTTCTCAGGTCAGAGAGCAGTCAGATGAAGCAATGATTTAACTCATTTAACTCAAAACCAGCAGACAATTCAGTGGCAGAATAAGCATCAACATTTAACCCTCTAGAGACCAGATTATGCTGCCTTTTCTTCCTGTGGTCCATATACACCATTAAACTATTGAGTGTGCTTTACCAGATCATAAGACATTCTTACAGACAGGGCAAAACGTGCTTGAGAAAGATTATGCAGTTACTCCAGGCCACACTGTGATCAATAAGAAGATAACATAATCACATGCTAAGAATCAGATTTCCAGAAATACACTTTTCAGAACAAAATTCAAGAATTTTAACTGTGTCTGAAATTTAATCTTCCATAATAAGTGTTTTCCATTTGCATTTAGAGTTAGTGAACCAGCAGGGGGAATAGACGGGCTCTGCCATATCTTTTTTTATTTTTTTACTTTTATTTTGAACAAAATAAACTCATGAAAAAAACAGATCCAGAGACATAGAAGCATGAAACAGACTGTTGAATCTCAGAGGGAGGGTGGGGTAAGAGTATGGGGGAAAGGGATCAACCTAAGAACTTGTATGCATATATGCATAACCAATGGTGGTGAGCCAGGACCGGTTTGACTCAGTGGATAGAGCGTCGGCCTGCGGACTGAAAGGTCCCGGGTTCGATTCGGGTCAAGGGCATGTACCTTGCTTGCGGGCACATCCCCAGTGGGGGGTGTGCAACAGGCAGCTGGTTGATGTTTCTCTCTCATCAACATTTCTAATTCTCTGTCCCTCTCAATTCCTCTCTGTGTAAAATCAATAATATATATATATATATATATATATATATATATATATATATATATATATATAAATATATATATATATATATATATATATTTTTTTTTTTTTTTTTTTTTTTAAGGGTGGTGAAGGCCTGGGGCAGGCTAGAGCTAGTTAAAGGGGATAAATGTAATGCTTTCAACAACCAAGATTTTAAAAAAAGATTGTGAGTGCCAGGGGCTGCGGGAGAGCCATCGGAGTACCTGCTCATGGGCAGGGGACTTCTTTTTGGAGCAATGGAAATGTTCTGACAGAGTGGATGGCTGCACAACACTGTGAATGTACAGCACTAAAAAGCACAGAATTGTATATTTTAAAAGGATGGATCTTATGGTATATGAAGTATATCTCAATAAAGCTGTTATTTAAAAAAATACACATATAGACATCTCAATTTTTATTTCCAGAAATTAAAAGTATTTTGAAATTTGAAGTGTGAAAGCAAGCTTCTTTAAAAATGCAAATTCTTAATCCAAATCTGATCACGTCACTTCCCAGAAGCCTTCGGATAAAATCCAAAAAGCTCAATCTGGTTTAGGAAGCTCTGCATGATGAGCCCATTCTGCCACAGCCTCCCCTCAGGACAGTCCCTACCACCCCACTAACACCGGCGGCTCCTCTCCCTGCTGCCTCCCAGGGCACCTGTTCTGTTCCCTAGGTTTATCACCACCTTCTCCCTTCCTCTTCACCTGGTTAATTCAATTCTTGCCTAAACATTTCAACTACGGTTCCTTTGAACTTCTACACCAGGTTGAGAACCCCATTCTAACACCCTCTCTTCAGAAACATCTATGACCACTGAACTAAAAAAAAAACTACATACTTGCATGTTCAGTGTCAACCATCCCAGGAAGACAGAAAGTTTCATAAAACCAGGACAATGAATGACTTCATTGCCTGGCACGGATACAGATGAATCATAAATGTCCATTGCAGGCAGTCCAACAGATAGAATGTGGACTTTGTCGACTCCTAAAGCTCCAAGGGTTTTGCACAGCCTTGCTTACATCCAGTTCTGCAAGGGGTGGCTGGCTCCACTGTCCACCACAAAACTGTGTTACCTGAGCAGGCAACGGACACTGGCTGAGGCCCCCAGCCAAGCACCTCCTGGCTTCTGTGTGGGGCAGCTGGGCCTGGGCAGCTCCCGCAGGCTCACGTTCCTGGTCAAGACGTATGCTTTAGAAGGAGTTTCTTTCACAGAAGCGTCCCTTCACCTCACCCAGTTTGTCTGCTTGAGACTCACTTTCAGAGAAGCAGGACTATTCTGCCCAATTAAATTGGACTGGATGAGCTTAGAGAAGAGGTATTCTCATCTACACAGTAACTAAGTTATTACAGGACAGGGTTTCTCAACTCAACACCCCTGGCATCTGGGCCGATAACCCTTGTCACCAGGCCGTCCTGGGCACCGCAGGGTGTTAGCAGCAGCCCTGTTTCTACTCGTCAGCGCCAGTAGCAGCCCCTCGTGTGACAGCCAAAATGTCCCAGGCATTGCCACAGGTCCTCCAGGAGGCAGAATCCCCACTGCTTGTGATCCCTACATGGACTTCCACAGGAAATGTCATCGTTCTGGCTTTCCAGCAGCGTTTCCTATCTAAGCTTAACAGTGATGTCAGGAACTTATGGTCCAGAGTGGGAATCAGAAACCAAAAGAAACAAGTAATGGGATTATGATGGCGGCCAGGCTTAAATGAGTGGCCCCTTGCCCTTAAGGCGAGATGCTGACTAGAGAGAAATCTTTGTGGGAGCCCCTGCGACCTGGAGCAGTCCCCCTGGAGTTCTGCCTGAGACAACCCAGCTTCAATGAACAGCTGTAATGAGCTCGCAGCACGTGTGCAGACTCCTGTGCACTTTCAAGCCAGTGAGTCCCTTGAATGTGTGCTCCTCCAAGACCATAAAGACAAAGGTGCACAGATCAGAACAAAGATTATGCCTGTAAATTCTCACTCCAACTTTGTTTAATCTAAATAATTAAATAAATATTTTAAATAAAAAATTCTAATCAACCCAGAGTTATGCTATGTGGTCATCTGCTGATGTCAAGTATAAAATGGGGTTGGATGTGATAAATAAACATAACATCTTCTAAAAATGACAGCAACTAGCAGTGTCCTCCCTACTTGCAACAAGACTTCAAATAGACTAACAATTAGCCAAACAATGAATAGCCGAATCAGGTAGATGATATAGTTTTGAAGGTACTGATGGTAAAAATCAAAATAATTAAGTACTGCCTGCTGAATCACTCCTTCAAAGTGTAGAAATGCAATTTTCTTACGAAGCTATTAAGACGCCTGGTGCACAAAATTCATGCACAGGGGGGTGGTTCCCTCAGCTGAGCTTGCACCCTCTCCAATCTGGGACCCCTTGGGGAATGTCCGACAGCCTCTCACAATCCGGGGCCACTGGCTGTTATCAGCTCACCTGCCTGATCGCCCCTAATCACCTCTGCCTGCCTGCCTGATCACCCCTAACTGCTCCCCTGCTGGCCTGATTCCCCTAACCATCCTGCCTCATCCCACACCCAGAACCCAGGATTCCCTCCTCCACCTGGTCGCAGGCACCCAAGAACTAGGCTTCCCTCCCTCTGGCCGGCTGCAGGCACCCAGGACCCGGGCCGGTTTCACACAGGCTGGCTGCAGCCGCAGGGGATTGAGGGGCAGGCCGCTTGTCCCTCTCCCAGCGGGAGGCACAGGAGCAGCCACTGGCATCCAGGACTGTGGGGCGGGCAGCTTGTCCCTCTCCCGGGCCACAGCCTGGCTGGTCCTCATTCCTCTCTTGTGAGCTCATTTGTGCTTAGCTGGTCCCCATTCCTCTCCCCAGTGTTGAGTGTCTGAGCTGTTCCGGCTTGAGGGTGTGAGGGCGAAACAACCATTTGCATATTAGCTCTTTATTATATAGGAGGATATTTGCTTATCAGCCTGAGGGATAGTTAAAATTTTTTCTGAAATTATTTTTTGGAGTTCCTCAACTAGTCAAACATGAGCTTTATAATATAATGGTCTTTTATTCCGAAAAATAAAGGATTTGAGCACATAAGAACTAGAAAATTATTTTTAAAAACCAACTTCCTAATGTTTGGTAATGTGGTATAATAAAAAATAAGTATTTGGTCTTTATCCCTGGTTCCAGGCGGAGGCCCAAAAACTCTTGAGTGCTAAGAGCAACTTCTGTAAGCTAGTGAGACAGAGTGTGGAATTTTCAGCCCAGCCCCCAACCTCCAGGAAGGGGCAGGGGCTAGAGACTGAGTTCAATCTCTAAAGGCCAGTGATTTAAATCACACCTAATTATGAAACTTACACAAAAGTCCCAACAACAGGGTTTGGGAATTGGTGCTGCTGAACGCACTGGTGAACTGGGAGGGTGGTACAAGGAGAGGGGTGGACTCTGCCCTCCCCCTGCCCACCCCAGCCCCGCTGTCTCCTGTGTGGCTGTTCCTGAGTTGTACCCTTTTAATAAACCAGTAAACATAAATGAAGTTTTTCCTTAAACTCTATGGGAATCTTTCTAGCAAATTGCCTAACCAGAATTTGTAGTTGAGTGGACCATGACAGTGGGCAGCACCCAAGGTGAGGACAATCTGTGAGCGGACAGCAAGCTCTAGTCACTGATGTGAGAACAGGACTCATCTGCAGGACATCCAGTTGATGTCAGAGAACTGGAGAATGGGTCAGTGACAGAAAAAAAGACACCACAGGTAAGAGTTTTTTCCTGACATTAAATATGATGAAAAGCATACAAACTGGATGAAGGCCAGCACTGAGAGCGTTGTCCCACCCTTGTTTGATGAATGGCAAACACTGCAGCTGGCATTTCTGCACACCTCGGCATAACTTCCCACCCACACAGAGGGGCACAGAAGCCAGGCCATTTCCTATTGCGAAGGCAACCTGTTTCACAGGTTTCTTAGGTGGGGCATCATGAACAATGGAAAAAGCATTGCTCATGATGCTCAAAACCCAGCTCCACCATCCTCTTGAACAATCTGTAAAGTAGGGGTGTGCCACCTACCTGCCAGAGTTGTCAGGAAGATTAGAAGGGATAAAGC